TCATGTTACTCGTTTTCTGGTTACTTGGTTTGCTCGTTAGTCGGTTTACTCGCTACTCGTTACTACCGGTTACTCGTTTTAGGAACACCCCGTTATATCGGAAAAGTCCGTAGCTATAAAACAACAACACTGTGGTGATATTCATCTTTGCATGTTATTTCAAGCAGTACCAACACATGCGCACTAAAACTAGCACTAAAACTGGTTTTTTTKKKGGGTTTTTTTTTGCAAAATACGTAGACATTTGTGTAGGAATGTGTAAGATGAGCTGTTCTTATAATAATCTTGTTAAATTATTTTTCGTAATAGGATTTGCTGTTAAAAACTGTGCTTGGATTAATATGTGGATGAAAGACAGAGGTTTTTTAAAACAAAAATGCTTTTGGACTCGGTATTGTATTGCAAGTTTGTGGTGAATTCAAACTGATACAAATGAATGCATAGATTAACAATTGGTAATAAAGTGTAAAGACAAAAGGTACCTGATAAGAGCTTTTTATACGCCCCTCGGTGGTCCTTCACTTGTACCAATAGCATGAAATGTGTTTAAAGAAATTAAACTCACCATGATACCATTGTAAATAAAGATACACTTTTTTCTTCCAAAGGTGTCGGACAATCTGCCACAAATTAAGTCACCAAAGAGCATACCAACATACATACTTGTCTGGATCGCTGCATTAAGACTGGCACGACCACAAATAAGATGCCACTGTGAAAGGAAAGGAAGCATAAAGAGGCGTTGTATTTTCGATTCTTTTCTTTACATGTTAACACAAACTATCCGTCTCGACTTACTATTCTTCCCGCTCTTTCTCTCTCTCTCTCTCTCTCTCGCGATTTACACGTGCGAATATGCAATTTAAGTTCATAGTCTGTTACTTCATGATCTCGCACAAGAGGTACACATTGTACTCTAATTATAGAGGCCACATATGTTTATTTTTAAGATAATTTGAAGGAACAATCTCATTAACCAGCAAAAATAGCTCATTGGCATGTTATAATAATAAAGCCCCTAGCATATTATATATGAGTTATAGTTTATACTTTCTAGTGTACCAGGTTTATAATGTTTTTGAATTTGTGATGATGATGATGATGATGATGACGACGACGATGTTGATAATGGCGGTGATGGTAGTGGTGGTTATGATGTTGGTGAGGATTGTAGTGATGATGGTGATAGTGATGATTATGAAGAGGAGGATATTTAACATCTCCGTAGGGTTTTCCGTGATGTTATTTTAGGCTTAATTTGCTCCCTTATCAGTAATTGCAAATTGTATAAATAATGTTAGATGTTAAATACCTCTGTAACCGTGCTGGTGAAGGCCTTATCGAAGCTGTATGACGTACAGTTGTCACAGCACGTTTTCTGGGGACATGTTATGTTTGGTGTGTTGCATTGGAAGGATGGGGCAGCAAACCCAAAGACTAGCATACCAAACGGAAATGCCATCAATAAAACCAGAATGCAAGAGCCAAAATAAACTGCTTTCTGGTATCTACCAAACGAGTTGACCAGCTGGAAGACATCGTCAAACTCAATGGAGGAACTAGAAGAGTTGTTATCCTGAAAACAGATACAAGAAATAAATGAATCTTTATTAATTTCAATGCCCCCATTGGTTTGTTATTAAAATGGTTGCTTAGTCAATGCGAATCCTGGAGAGGAGAAAACAGCAGAGTATTAAAAGGACTGCCTTTCGGCGCGAGCAAAACAATTATTTTTAACGATGATCTATAGCTAGTAATGCCAAATAATCTGTCCTGATAAGTCTGCAATAATGGCATATCAAGTCTTGCAGGGTTCGGTCTCTTTAACACTTTTGAAGTTCATAATTTCTTGATCACTACTGTAGAACGAGAAAGCCAAAATGATCTGAGACTTGCCATTCTATCTGAAAAAAGCCCCCGAGAATGGACCCAATGGAATGGACGTGGCCGTACTATAGAAAAAAGAATACAGTATTATATTCTCTCTTCTTCATTGTATGATAATTAGATATTGGGACAAATATTACGGATCGTAAGTTAATACGACGCGAACTGTCATGTTGGTCGGGTGCTTTTGCTGCCATCCTGCTTGCAGGTTCGTATATTCTTTCTCTAAATGGCGTAGTGGTTTACCATAAGAAAACGTGCAAAAGAAACCAACGTTGAAAAAGACAGGGTCGTCACCGAACACAGATTATGAGGGTGGGTCGGAAGGGCTATACAAAATACAAATTGGGCCTTTGACCAATTTATTGGGAAGAGTGATAGATAATTTATGCGGAGGATATTCAAATAATTCGTGGACCAATCCGAAGACGGGGTGTGATGGCGCCAGCTCGCTTGAGAGGGCCGCGGAACGAATAACGACGAAAGGGCCTTGATACCAAACAGAGAAAAGAGCAACGTCGAGTCACGTCTTTACCCKKSGAAATCTTGACGGCCTTTAATTCGGTCGTACAAATCATATACATTAAAATATCAGATTACAAACATTGATTGTTGCTATKAGCGCTTAATCCTTAATCAAATAAAGCCAGATATATAAAATTACAATAATTCGCTGAGAGACAATAAAACAARTAAATATAAAATCAAAATACAATCAAATGTAAACCAAAGCTGAGGGCGTACCAACGCCGTTACACGGGGTTTATGTAACAATGGATTGCATTGATAATAAAATGTATGCAAATGACTTTTTTTATATCTAATTGCTCAACACAATATTTAAAAGTCAACATTACAACCAAAACTAATCAGAAACAGAACAAAAACAAATAAACAAATAAATAGGAGAGAAAAAGAGAAAAAACGGAAAGAAGCTGCATGAAGCTACATAATGATGTTTAGTTGTTAAARTTTCTAGTTTTTTGTTTCCATTTCCAAGCCATAGAGCTGTCTTCATCTCCACATTTCTCCTTATGATAAACCGATTTTATTTATAATTGAAAACCGTCCAATGATGGTTTACTTTCATTATTCTTGCATAGCCAGATATAATATCGGACAGCAAGGAAAATAAAATTTACTCAGTTGAGTTTACATTTTGTTTTGACTGCTTTCAGGCCACAAACATTTTGGACTTTGATAGAGTGTTCTCTGGAGGTAATAAAAAATTCGTCTAAACATGCTTTTGGGCCAAACCAAACCGCTCTTTTTAGAGACGTTCCCGGAAACACGGGAATTTTTTTGACTAGGAAATAGTTGACGTCGCCGTAAAGAGCACAGTTTAATCTCAGCACAAGACGCAGAGATGATCAAACTAAAGAACATTATCTTTGAGGGATGGCCTACTCACCGAAAGGAGTGCCCACAAGAACAACTAGACTTCTGGAGCTTTAGATGCGACCTCGTCTTAGAAGACGGATTAATCCTCAAAGGCGATAGAATCCTTATACCATCATCACTAAGAAAACAAGTACTGGATACAATTCATCAAGGTCACCAAGGAGAGACGAAATGTATCTTGTTAGCCAGAGAAGCTGTATTCTGGCCAAAGATCAGCAATGACATTAGACAAACGATTAAAGAATGTGAAACTTGCAACAAGTATCAGCCAGCACAAGCTCGACTTCTCATATTGCAACCAGATCTTCCTTCTAGACTATGGGAAAAGTTAGGAACTGATATCTTTGAATTCAACGTTTCAAAGTATCTAATGATTGTAGACTATTACTCAAGATTTCTTGTCGTACGTCCATTTGCTAATATGACAGCTAATACTATATGTAACCACTTCCAGCACGTGTTAGCAGAATATGGATTACCATCACACATTCATACTGACTTTGGTACGAAGTACATTAGCAAAGAGTTTCGTGAGAAATGTGAAAACACTGGGATCAGGTTAACATTCAGCTCACCCTACCATCACCAAGCGAACAGCGTCGCAGAAAGATCTATAGGAACATGCGAATCCTTATGGAAGAAGGCCCTAAACGAAAAGAAGTGCCCTTACGCAGCACTCTGGATGTACAGAATTCACACCCCTAACAAGCACTATACCATCACCCTATGAGTTATATTTATGGACGTAAGCCCCGACTGCTTATTCCAAGCAGCAACCATATGTCTTGCAATCCTCACATCCAGACAATGATCACCACAAGGAGACAATCAGACTCTCCAAAGAGAAACAAGCAGMGTACTATATCAGAAAAGCAAGTAAATCTGACACAAGACCATTACTTGTCGAGGAGCTGGTATGTGTACAATACGCACAAAAAAACTTGGGACAAGGGTGAAATCACAAGGAAACCAAACCCTATATGCGAAGCAAGGACATACGTTGTCGAGCCAGAGAACATCTAAGACCGAGAACAAGCCAGCTTAAAGAACCAGAAAGAAAGGTCTACCAAGAAACCCAACCTGCACTTGACATACGTCATCCCCAAGACCTACTCGGTAAACCAGCGGTACAAGAAAGACCACAGATGACTGAAGCTACCAAAGGCCGAGATGTACTCTTAAGTGATTATAAACCAAAGGAGCAAAACAATCAATCAGCAAGCTATACCGGCACTAGATATGGGCGTACAATCAAAGCTAATTTTAGACTACGTTTGTAAAGAGTTGATACACACAAACAAACAAAAAAATATATATATATACATCCTTTCTATATAAGTTGATATTGAACATTTACATATATTGATCAACACCAATTAACTATAAGATTGATAAACATTGAACAATTGAACACAAAGAGGGGGATGTCATAGCACCCCATATATGGACATCGGTATGGTGTAAATTAGTTTCTAGGCAAGCCATGGCTCGAAGAGAGCACGACGATATGTACAACATGATTCCAGAATAAAATACATCCAAACAAACCCAAGAGACTTCGACACTTGATATACAAAATACCTTGTATTCCTTAGATTTTTAGTTTTCCAAAAGATATATTCGACACCTGCGTACCTCGGTTCAGCCTCTAATCGTTGTTTGTTGTGAACATGTCAGAGCATGTGATGACACTCTTGGGAGTTGATTCTTACAAAGGTAAATATTTTAACATGTCTGTCATAAAAGAATAATTCTCAAAGGAATATCATGTGATCTGAAATTATGGGGAGTTTTCACACGATGCTAAAAATGTGTATTTAATCGATTTCGATTTTAACTTGTCAATTGAATGTATTCACGGCCAAAGCGTGTATCAACGGGTACAAGTTTTTTCTCATTAGCATGCTATTTTAATGTCAAGCTCATTAGCATTAAAGCGTTGGTAACGTGAAGTCATTTTAGTATGATACAGAATATTATTTACCGTTTGGTATTCTATCAGAATATATGAGCCCCAACTTTCTCCCACTTTATATGTTTTAGTTTCCTGGCCTCTGGTTGTACGAAACCTGCATAGCGCTATCCGGCGGATGAATTTTATCGAGTGGATAAATTCATTTTGAYAACAGCACAGTGCACCGCCCTTTGTACAACCGGGCCATTGTTACTATCAATCACGTGACTTTTTGGAGTTGACTGGGGGGCAAACAAGCGGTTGACTGGGGGGCAACTAGCGGATGCTAAATCAAATCATATCAAAATAAGTCCTCAAACTATTGTATTTGACTATTTTCACGACATSAAACCAGAAAACAAGAGATCAAAACAACCTCCAGGATTCTACAAGCCATCAAAAAAGAGCTATTACCGGAAGTGACGTCTATTGATAGCAACCTATTGTATATATTTTTTTAGTTACGTTAAACAGGAAGAAAGAAAGAAATAATACACTTTCACTTTGACCCAATCCTGACAGACGCCAAGTTATTGAGCGATTTTGCTGCGATTCTAGAGATCAAAAACATATGTGCGTGAACTTTTGGCAATCGAATATGAGATGAGTTTAATTGGCGAAGTTTTAGCGCAATGCTGCTCAATAGACCTTATTCGTAGTGTGACAATGTTTTCCCAATTCAGCGTGACAAACCTCTGGGGGAATGAAGAGCTATTGTTTTGAAACTTGTCGGGATATCATCGTTATTCCTTTTGTATCCTTTGGGATACTCATCAATTTTTCGAAGAGTAAAAACAAAAGAAAATGAATCCCCTGGAGGTTAGTCACGCTGAAATGGGAAAACATTGTCACACCACGAATAAGGTCTATTGAGAAAGTTGTTTTTTTTCAAAGTTGTGAAATGATTGAAATTATTCATCGCCAATACAACATCGCCTCTCATATTATAAATAGTATGAAGTGCATATGAAAACATATACTTAAAAGGCAACAAATCTTAGTTGTCAGCCCGCTTTGACGCATCTAAGAAAAAAGAAATGAAAACGTAAAATAAAGATGCAATAATTACAATTTATAGATTAAATGTTTACGCTCGAACCTAAAGCAAGTTGATCCTACAAAGAAGGCTAGCAAAATGCCCAACAAACCCGGTTATCAATAAGATGGTCATCTGTATGGAAACATATCATTTATTATCATTTCTTGGTCGTTTGGATGGTTTAATAACAAATCCGTTTCAATATACCCGTAGACAGTTGTGTCTTGTAGATACGTTTCCACTACGAAAACCATTTGGAGTTAWATATCTTAATGAAGATAGAAAACAAAGTGAATATTTTGTCCAATTAAATTTACGGTTTGGTGAAGGACCTCCAAATTACCTTTTCGCCCATATTAGAAACCAAGAAAGTTGCCTTGATCTTCTTAACCGTTAGCCTAGCCAAGACTACTCCATACAGGCGGCGTTTTGCTGACAAACTCCAAAGCCTAAGTTTTACTGTCGTCATGGAGCGCAGAGAGCTACCAAATTATTTCAAGTCAGTAGAATGAAGAGGGCGGCGGCACGCCAACGTACCTTTCGTAAATCCCATTATTCMTATCCTTRTCTTTCCTAATCCATATTTTATAACCAATTCTACCTCTATTTCTATTATTATTCTCATAGTTACAAAAATAATAGTGAAAAGTTGGCGTAATTAACCATTTTCATTTGAAATTTCTTTCATGATATTTTTCAATAATAGCATTTGAGGATCTTAACTTTCAATGCTCCAAAACTTGAACTTAACTCGATGCGTGACCAAAGCCGTTATTTAAACTTTCAAGGCCTGAAGACATCCAATTATTGATTGACAAAGACAGAAACTTCAATATTTTGCTTGAATTTTTAATACAAATGGAGCTCGAAGCAAAACAACAGAGGTTTTCCAGAGTGTTTCTACAGAGAAATTACGGATTTTCATTGAGAAAAAGGATTCGGAAAATTCGAAAAAAGCGACAAAAAATGCTGTTGCCACTTTCCTCGCTTATTGGTTGAGAAATAAAATACCGTATGTGCCGTTGTATTTGTAAAATCATGGTCAGTTTTGATGCATTTAGCTTGCTAAATAAAGTTCTTATTTCGTAAACTGACTTCTCAATATTTCTCAATTTTACTATATAACAAAACACTCGAGAAATTAGTTAACTAATTCCCTCGCGACAAGACATTAAATGTATAATATATGCTATCGTAGGACACCACTACTAGCCGATTGAATTTTCAAATTGAAACTCCCCCAAAACCGGGGTCACCTTGGCCTATGAAAGGCGAGCGCTCTTACCGCTACGCCACACATGCTTCTTTTTGTTCAAACATTTAAAGGAGAACGACTTGCTAGACCAAAACAGTAAAGGAGTTTTCATCCCATACGGCGGGAAGTCATTTCTATCTTAAGTTTTTTGTCTTTTTTAATATTTCAATTTATTTTTATTTTATTTATTTTTATTTATTTATGCTTCTGTCATGACGTTTGTAAGTGGCAGGGGCATCACTCTAAAAATAGCAAATTACAGCGATAAGGATAGAAGAAAAATATTTGTCCCTTCGAAAACAAATGATGGTGCATGGTCTTCCTGTTGCTTTGGCGGTTATTTTCAAAGCCAAAAAAATATTTTAATATTGACTAAACAATTTAAAATCCAAGATTATCCCAGATCGAGCTCTTGCTCAATGTTCTCCAGAATACTGTGTGAGGGCGAAAAACGCATACGCAAGCCCAGTATAGTTTTTTTGCAAATTAATCTAAAACACTCAAATTCGACTTTCAAACTTGTCTGACAAATGGTCTTTACAGATTGCCGAAACTTAAAGTTGGCTCTTTAGGCTATTTCATTCATTCAATTCTTTTTTTTGCGTGTGTGGTTTTCTTTTTTTTTTTTTTTTTTTTTTTTTTTCTTT